TGGGCCCACATCCTTCAGGGAATGGAAACGAACGTCAGGATCTCCAGCACACTGACCATCGAGCAGCGCAGCCCCGAAGTTACCAGCTCCGGGAGAGACTATCAATGAGAAATCGTCCCAGCAATCTCAAGAATCACTTGAGGCAGTGCAGACCCCGCACACAACACCTCCACTTCCGGAATCGACCACAGCCCCTTCCCATCTGCAGCGAGTCATCACAGGAACCACACTCGCGCCGGGCTCAGTGCCAATTTGCCATGCCTTCCCTCATCACTACTTATAGGCGTGAAGGTGTTGGGGCCGGAGCATTGTCGCGGGGCGTCTGGAGGTGAGTGCTCGTTCGACGAGGTACGCTTGAAAGCAGGAGAGAGGCGCCGTTTGCGAGTATCTTCGGTTTTGCAGAGTGTCAGTGATTCAACCCCACAATTCAGCTACTTAATATTGCGCGAAAAAATTTGTGGACTGATTTCACCTCCCTTCTTATGCGTTTTTTGCATCTATGTAATGCGGAAAACGCATATTGACGAGGGGTTGTCTGTGTGTATCTGTTTGTCTATGTGTCTGTGTGTGTGTCTGTGTGTTCATCTGTACCGATTTTTCATCTCGCGATCTATAAAAGCTACAGGGCTGAAACTTTGGGAACATAATTTATATGCATGTGCGAGTACCCAATGTTTCTTTCGGGCAAGTTGCTAACTCTTCTCCGCGTGACACCCAATGTTTTTCAAAGTCAGAAGGTTGTAATTTTGAGGGGATTTTCTTCATGCCCGCAGGTCTTAATGAGTTCAAACCAGCTCTCGGGAATGGTGTCACCCACATACGGGTCCGTCAAAGTTTTTCGATAAGTCGCTAACTCGAGAACCTGAAAAGCCAGGAGGCAGGATCTTTGAGGGGGTATTCCCCGTCCAAGTAGATATTAATGCGTTCACGCCTAATCCCTGGATATGCGTGGTTCCTGTGCACGGGCTCATGAAACTTTTTTGCGGGTAAGTTTCTAACTCGGAAACCAGGAAAGCTAGAAAGCTAAAATTTTAAACGAATGTTTTCAGACAGTTCCGGCGGCCAGTCTCAA